GGGAATTCTTTCTAAAAGAAAAAAGACAAAAATTAATTCTTTTTTTTTTTTTTTTTTTTATAGGCAATGGTGTCATAAGTATAATTAGACATCAAGAATGTACCACAGTAGATACAGAGATTAAGTCAAGCACTCTGTGGCAGTGGGTATTAATTGTCATTGGCAGGTTTCTTTTTTCCAGTTAAAATTACAGAACACCAAGTTATCATACATGGATGTTGAAAAAATTCAGGTTGCTCCATTTAGAAGAATCTCTTGTGAAGATTTTCAGAATATTCTTTTCTAAAAATGCCATGCAGCAATCTGAAATTTTCAGTTGGTCTAATTCAATACAATTTGCAAGCTGTTTTGGAGTACAGAGGATTTCTATGAGTGTGAAAACAAACTCACACCCTGCATACCGCCCACACCCCCTACCCAATTCTCTTTTGAATGTTGAAAACAAAGTGATTCTCAGAAACAAAATTTGCATTCCAGGCTCTGAGCCAGGGAGAATTTAAATAGACAAGTTACACACTCTTGAAAATGGTGTTTTATACTACAAAGAGTGAGACCCTCCAAGTCTAATAAAATGAGCAGCATAGTTCATGATAAAGAAAATGTTTGCAAGAGTGTATAGGAGCTTTGCTTTTATAAAAATATAATGAATTTACTTTAGGTCACTTTTTGTGAAGCAAACAGCAGCTGTGACAGGGAGACTTTTATTCTCTGCATGTATATATTGCAGTCACTTAAGAGTTACAGAGCTCATCAATCAGTCCTCTGTTTCTCTCTGGTGAATCACCTAGCAACGTGCACCATGCCCTGCAGAACCAACTGAGGATGGTTAACGTGAGCCAATCACAGAGCAGCCTGCTGCAGAGTGCCATACTCATAAGCAAAGTCAATCTCTTTTTACTCAAACTAGAAACTATGACTGATGATTCTGTTACCTGTGAGGTAGTTTGGTTTGTCTAGTTTTAAGCTATACTTCAGAAGCAAGAAATCATGCCTATAAACTAGTCCAAATCCAAATAAATAACTGTCTTTGTCACACTAATGAAGCTTCCCCCCACCCCCCCGTAGTTGAATGGCACCAGAATCAATCTGTGGTTGCATTCAGTACACATTTGAAGTTAATAAAACCATTCATAAGTGAAAGTAGACTTTAAAAATTTCCCAAAGATTCATTCCAAATTGTGCACAAGGCTTAGAGGTCAAATGAGTGCCCTGGAAAACTCAATGGGTGCCTGTGGTATAATAGAAAAATCACTGAACTGGTCATCAGGAGACTTAGCACTTTTAGATCTGGTGCTGCTTCTAACCTTGGGCAAGTCACTTCACAAGTCTGGGGCTAAGATTCCCTTATGGGTAAAATGAGTGTTTTGGACTAGATGAAGGTATTCCATGTTATCAGGAGCCAATACAGAGAGCTGCGGAGAGTGAGGAGCTGCTTTTACTAGATCAGCTAGACTTTTATGAGTTTAATATTTCAAAGTTCATCAAGGTAATTTGTTCAGGAAAAAAAAAGTACTTCTACAAAAACATATGAAAATCACAACTCAGGTTAATCTTAGTGTTTTATGCTGTGGTATGAAAAGAAAGACTGTCCCCATGCTGAGGAATCTCATGTATCCATTGACCTCAGCTCTTCTCGTGGTGATAGACAGCATTTGTTGGTTCACACATAGTTAGTTCAGAGTTTCTGTTTAGATACCTGTCACTTGTATCCTTTTCTCAGTGTTTAATCAAAATTGAGCATCTCCTCCACAGACATTTAACCTGCAAGTAACTGGTGTGGATTTTTTGGAGGGGAATGGAGAAGCAGATAATGATGTGTTTTACAACTAAGACCTGTGTTGTGTATTTCATTTTGATTCTTTAAATATATAAATGCTATTTCTCATGTCATGAGGAAAATACATCATAATTCCACACACAGAATGGTTTACTTAAAGTACCTCAGGATTTATGAGGGGTGTTTGCTCACAAAGTACTGAGAGAAGCACTTTTGATTCAACATGATCAGTGTCTTTCCTCACTCTCTTCCCATATCAAATTCAGCCGAGCTATGTGTGGTTTTAGATAGTCACATAAGTACATTGTGGGTGATATAAAAGCAATTTTGCATCCACCAGTATATCTTACCTGTCTGTGAGATGGCCAAATGCCAAAACATATGTATTTTAGTAAGTTGTTGATTTCTATTCTCTCCAAAAGCTAATGTTAATAACATTCACTAACAATAGCCTGGATGATAAAACAAAAGGTGATACCAATTTTAATATATATCTTCCTGATAACTCCCCATCTCCTTGCCACAATATCCTTCTGCAGTAACATGAGAATCAACTGTATAGTAACTCCAGCTAGTATAAAACTAAAAGAGGTAAATGTAATACTGCTAACTTAAGAAATGTTTCAAGTTGTACTAAATATTAAATGTAGCTTAACTCATTTCATATGATAAGACTTCCAAGGATACTAGTGAAAACCTAAAATCTATTTGATGAAAAAATAAATCATTTGAGTTTTAGCATTACATACCATTGCTATAACTATTGACATATCACATTCTGCTAAGAAATGGAGTCTGGATGTCAGCTGTCCACTCTCCCAACACCCTCTCCCCACATCCATACACACGTATGCTCACACAGCCTATAGTGTACTATCAGATTTACAATGAGCAACCATTTTTTTTTTAATCCTATTCTCTAATTATAAACTACTACAGTGTAGCCCTGTGATAATGTAGCTTCTAGCTATTTCAATTAGGATAGCCATGTCAGCAAGGAAGAAGAAAATAAAATGAGACATGATTCTACCATTTGATAACTGTTTGGTTGAAGTGATTTTAGAGAAAATTAGTTATGAATGTTCAAAAGCAAAATTTGGCTTTATTTGGTGCCCTTGACTAAATTATTAATGCAAATAAATTTGTAGCATTACTTTTCCTTTCAATTCTATACTTGGTTTTGAATTCTTGAATCATGTTCAGACATAATTCCCATAAGTTTTTTTGAAAAAACTTTAAAATCAATATGCAATTTTGCTAAAATAGTATGTGTCCTCTTTTATAGTCCTCCAACTGATACCCATCGATTGTTACAACCTAATATAAGAGAAAATTACATACAAACTATGTAGTTAATATGGAAAGTTTGAAACAAAAGTTTGAAGACAAGATAACTCAAGAAAATGCAACAGATATTACCATTAGTTCCACAATACTCACTGTGAATCATTCTTCCAAATAGGAGCAAGAATAACAACATAAAGAGAACTAAACTTTAAACATTTTAAAATTAGATTTCCCTAGCTTTGCTACAGTTTCATTTTACTGAGATTTAAAAAAAAAAAAAAAAAATTAGAAAACATTTATGGAGCAAAGATTGTATGGACAAAAGGACCAAAGATTTTAACATGGTTAATAATTACATGCACACTGATAAAATATCACAGGATTTTTTAAAGAAAACTAGCGGTACACAGGCTATGTAAAAGGAAATGAGTATGGGCCCAACTTTTTTGATATATGATTTTAGTGCACTGGAAATTAGTTTAACCTGGCAAAACTGCCCACTAATTCTTTGAATTTAGAGCCTGAGTTTATTTCAGATGTTCTTTCAAATCTGTGTATATTACATGTATAGACACTGCTGAAAGAGAAGCTGAAAACTGCTTTTCCTTTCTTCTTGTTAATTTTTACTGTTGACGGACCATCCAGATTAGTTTAATATCTTACATCTCTGGAGTTTTCAGAGATCTCTAAATAACAGATTCCAATTCCCAGATAACTTTAGCCTTCTTATTTAACCCTGAGAATTTTCATTTTATTGAAGTATACTGAGTGCAGTCCTCACTGAAATGTATTTGAGACGTTTGTCTTTTAAAATATGAATTTCAAATAGAATTCAATCATTTATTGATTACTAAACATTGTTATTATGAACACTGACTTTGCATCAAAATAGTATAACATCAAGGCTTATTAGTATGGAGGAGACTTTAAACCCTACACCATCTGTTTCTCAGAAATCATTGACCATTTTCAGGTTTTTTGTCAGCTTTAATGCTTTTTCTTTCACTTTCTTAATAATCAGGTAGTCAGGTGTCAGTTCTTGATTGTGTTAAGGTAGTTGTCTCTGTTGTACCTTCCTGTTTTTCAATGTTTCTGTATTTTTTTCAGTTTTTCTATCTTTCTTATATTTTGTCTATAACCTATGGATTTAGCTTTTATATTTAGGAAAACAGAAAATCACCATTGTGAAAATTACATTAATAGAATTGTGTTTCTAGAATTACTAGTAAATAGGTCCTCTTGAAATTAAAATACATGAGTTCAACACAAAGATGCATTTGTTATTATTCATTATTCTAATTTCTAACATAAAATATAATTGCCAAGGAAATTAATTCTAGATATTAACCTAAAGAAAGTTACTTATTTTTTTTTTTGCATCAGTCTTGATGCTATTCATTTTGTTGATCCAAAAAGATTTTAGTCTTCTTCCTAGTTTTTTATAATGATCTCAGTAGATAACATGTCTGATACCTGAATCACAAATTGAGTAATAATTATACAAAAGCCAATTAGTTTCATTTGGAAAATAAAATTAATAGTACTGAAGTTGGTAAGCAATAAGATTTTGAAAGAAGGAATTTTGGGATTGTTTATATTTGTTTATATGAACATAGAATCATTCTTCTCTATGAGACTCATAAAAATGAATGGCATTGAGGCAATATATGTTTTCTGTACCTTAGTTGTTGGAGCTAATTAAAAAGAGTAAAATCTATGAATGATAGAAAACTAAAAACTGAGATTAAAATACCTTATAATCCATTTAAATCATCATATGTTCTTACTAAAATTGTTAACCATTTATTCTCTGAAAGATTTGTTAAAATTTATGCTTATAGAATTTCTTATATTTAAAATTTTTTCTCTCCATTCTAGTCCAGATTCCAAATTTCAAAGATTTTGTTACATTTATGGATTCCTAATATGACTTAACTTTAAAAATAATGTTTGGACTTAAGCTTCTACATCTTAAACTATGTTTCTATTTCCCATGTTTTCAAGCTATGATTCTTAAACATCATTGTATTCAAGAATCCCCTTGGGAATTTGTTATTTTTATGTATATGTATACATACACACACACACACACACACGTTTTTCTGGGATATTTTCTGATTCTGTAGGTCAGAAGGCAAGATGGCACTTAGAAATTTGTATTTTAAACAAGGATCTTGGTGATTCTGAGTCATGTAGGTTAAGGGCTTCACCTAGTGAGTTGGAAGTGATTAATAAGTAGAAGATGCACATGGTAATTAATTGGCTACAGTAATGTCTTATTCAGTACATTAACTTCTGTCACTATCAAATCTATGTTTGCTATTTATTAGGCATCAAGAAGGCATCACAGATAGGTTATTCAAAAGAGTTATAAGCACTTAAAATAATGTTTAAAGTAATAAAGCAAATATTTGGAGGGGGTGGAATAACAAGTTTCTTAATTACAGATCATATGGGCAAGCTATTCATTGTTTTGTTGCTTGTTTTTCTGCTTTGGGTAAATGAACTATTTTGCTATGAATCAAATCACAGATGTCATTTATTTTTCCTATATGTCCTTAAGACCTTTTTCTACTTAACTTTAGAGCAACCCTCTAAACCTGAATTTGTAAGCAAAGCCGCATTTCTGGAAACAGAGCAGCTAAAACAGGTAAGAATTTCTTTTCTTTTTGATTAGCTGCCTTTAGTGAGTCTGTAAGTGTCTTCCCTTGGCCTTTGGTTGCCATAACAAATAAGATAGACTTTGTTCTTGTGGAGATGAGCGTGTTGCAGTTGCCACTCAGAAAATATGCACCAGGGAATGTGGATAAGGAGGAAGGTATGGTTATTACTGAAGAAAGAAGAAGGGGATGTGGGTAAAGAAAAACATAAGTCTTTCTTGTCTGAATGTTTAATGGAGCCATAAAAGAAGAGTAGATTTTCTCCAGGCCTAAGGTGAAAAAGGACTTTCCAACAAAATAGTATTATGTGAAAGAAAATGACATGTTTGGGAAACTTCATGATTTGCATTGTTGAAACTTCAGATGGCAACACAATGGGTACAAGCAAATCAATGCAGCAAAGTATGAGTTTGAGGAGGTATAAAGAGACCAGATTATGACAAGCTTGATCTACTGTGTGAGAACTTTGGACTTTATTCTGTGGACAAATTAAACAGTTGAGAGAGTGAAGTAAAAGAGTGAAAGGTCACATTAGCAGAGGGCTGAAGAAAGGTTGTAGAGAAGGCAGATGAAGTTGGAATTGCATACATGAGAACATCACTTGACCAGTAACTTCCTTTTCCTGAATTAAAACACTTAAATTTTCCTTTGTTGTGGAAAAAAAAAAAAAGTCATTGAATACCATTAAATTTTACGGCATAATATTAATTTAATGAACACTAAGTATTAAAGTTAAAATACTTTGGAAGAAAAGTATTAGAGATTATGTTGTTGTTGTTGTTGTTGTTGTTATGTGCCGTCGAGTCGGACCCGACTCATAGCGACCCCTCCTTGGGTTTCCTAGGCAGTATCACTAGGAAGTAGATTGCCCCATCTTCCTTCCGAGGAGTGACTAGTGGGTTTGAACCGCCAGCCTTCTGGTTAGCAGCCAAGTGCCTTAGCCACTGTGCTACCAGAGCTCCCTTTAGAGATTATAGATCATGGTAAACATACATAGAATGAAATACACATAATATGAAACTAGAAAGGCAGATCTATGGACCCCAGGAATGTTGTTGTTGTTGTTTGTTATGTGCCGTCGGCAGTATCACTACGGAAGTAGGATTGCCCAACCTTCCTTCCGAGGAGTGGCTCGTGGGTTTGAACAGCCAGCTTTCTGGTTAGCAGTCAAGTGCTTTAGCCACTATGCTACCAGAGCTCCTATGGACCCCAGGAATAGTCAGTGTTAATGTGTTATATTATTTAGGTTATGTTAAAAATGAATCGTTTTAAGAATGAATTTGGTAATGCTTTAAATGAATGTGAATTTGTTAATAGTGGTAGGATCTGCTATATATTTTTAAATGGGCAAGATCATATTCTTAAATACAAACCATTATTTTTATACAAGAGAGCATTTATTCAGTGCTTAGCCAGTGCTTGGAAAACTATTGAGTCAAGAAATCTTTGTGATAACTCTGCAGCCCCTGAGGAGTCTTTGTTTCCCAAATTGACAAACACTGATTGACACAAGGTGGTAACATTTCCTCTTTGTTATGCAGTTGGGTGACTGCATTTCAAAAGACAGTTATCCATATGGCAACATCACATGGTACAGGAATGGAAGACCACTGCAACACCATGAAGGAGGTGGGTATGAAGTGGGTAATAGATGCAGATGACCTGTTTTGACTTGCTCCTGTCTAGGTATTCCTTAGACTCTCATGCATCCAAATGTGATACCCTCTCTTGATCTGTAACTCTATGCTTTATTAATTTAAGTAGTCATTAAATCATTAAGTGATCTTTTGCAGAAGAATAAAGAACAGAGAAAATTATTTCTGCGCATGGCATGTTCTAGAAGTTAATTAAAGTGAGTGGGAGATAGGATACTAGGATTCTATTTCTGTCTCTGCCTCTGATTCATGGTTTTGATAAGGAATCCCACATCACTGCTTGTCATTTTTTCCTCCTGGCAAATACAGTTAGAAGGACAAATACTTTTCAATGGTGTAGTAACATTTAAATAAGGATTGTGATTTTCTAATGAAAGATACTATCATTAGTACTCTTTATTTTCTTCAGTGGTGAACATACATTTTAATAAGCAAATGGACCCAGAAACTCAGCTCTATACCATGACTTCGTCCCTGGAGTACAAGGCTACCAAGTCTGATATTCAAATGCCATTCACCTGCTCTGTGACATATTATGGACCAACTGGCCAGAACACAGTTTATTCTGAACAAGCAGTCTTTGATATTTACTGTAAGTTAATCAATGTATAAATTCCATATGCAATTATAATGTATTAGAAGCAACTTTCAAATGCTATTAATCTTTTAAGTCCTAACTCAAATACTTTTTTGGATTCTGTTCCAACTCCTCACCCCAACCCCAAGACACCCAAATAATCTCTTCTTCCTTGGAAAACACATAGCACAAAACCTTACCACCCATCATACGCTATCTTTCACTCCCTACTTTGTTATTTATGGCCATCCCTTCTGTATTCTGTTATACTCTAAATTCCGTAAAGGCAAGAACTCTATCTTGGTGAGATTCCATCTGGTACTTCCCAGCTCTTGCATACTGCCATGAATTTTGTAGGAGTTCAAAATGCTTTCTAATCTTTCAATGAATGAATGAAAGACAAGTACAGAATTATAACTTATTGTATTTCTAGATGAGGAGTTTCATTTTAATAAAAATACTTATTTTTGTAATGAGATGAATTACATAACTTAAATAAGAAGTTATATTCTAAGATGTTCTGGTAAACTTCATTCACTTTTTATAACAGATTTGAAACATACTTATTAGACTACAAAGGAGACTTTTTGTCACGTGGTCTGTCATCACCTAGCCTAACTCTATTATTTTACTACTGAGTAAAGTTAGGCTCAGAGATTTGTGCTAATTTAGCTATGGAGACCATATAAGGATACTTTTTGCCAATGCTATCCTCTTTCCTATCAGGCAAGTGCCAAGATAGCTGAATAATTAAGAGTAAAGATGCTGGCATTCCATTTGTTCATTATTGTGTGTTTTCAGACTTGTATATTAACCACTGTAGGGTTCAGTTTTCTTATCTTGAAATGGAAAAAATATAATACCTAACTCACAGTTGCTTCAGAGATTGAAGTGTTGCTTCAGAGATTGAGATGTTAAATCTGCAATAACACACTACATTGTACATTATAAATGCTCAGTATTGAGTACTATGTTCATCATTAGGTCAACATGGGAATGCAATGGGTAAAGTAGAAAAGTCAAGAAGGTCAAGATATATTGCGGGAATATTATATATCACTACACAAACATAGAGCCAGAAATATGTTTTTGAAAAAAATGCAAGAAAGGATTTAACTATTGTTATTGCTGAAAATGAATAAGATAGTTTTATAATATTACTATGAGTTCTAGAATAACCCAGCACTTCTACATCTATTCTGGAGAAAGGTGGAAGTATAATCAGAACTTTTTGAGAGTTGTGCCTCATCTACATTGTTTTATTATCTAGTTTTATTTTTGGCAAAAATATACACAGCAAAACATGCTCTCCCACAGTTTTAGATATAATGATCACTGACATTGGTTGCAATTTCACATTGTCCTAATATTCTCATTATTTCTCTTCAATTTTTTCAGTTCCATTTACTTAAATTCCCTCATTCCCTCATCAACCTTTTTATTTTGCTTCCACAAAGCACAGAATCTTACACATGAAAAAAAGAAAGAAAGAAAGAAAACCCAGACTTGCCCTAACGTTAAAGGGTTGTTTTGCCTTAAATTTGGGAAATATTTCAACGTGATTTAAAAGCAAAACATTATATTGTTTCAGCCTATACAGCTTATCTAAAATCAAGCTTTTATTTATCTAAGTGAAGGCAGAATTTTGTGTGCTCAAAAAGATTCAATTGAAAACAAATCATTTTTGTAGGAGAACACCAAGATGGATAGCAAAAATTAAGAGATTGCTTTAAGAAAAAATAGGAATGTATATGGATGTCAGGAATATATATGGATGTCAGCTAGGGTGGGCAGAGATATCACTGGATGAGTAAAAAGGAAATTATTATACCATGGCTTACCCTATGGGGTACACCTGGTAGAGTTCTGAGAAGGCACGCATATGCAATACTCAGCTTTTCAGTGAAAATACCAGGGATTACTACATAGGCTTGATATTCAAGTAGTTTACTACCCCCAATAGAGAAACAAGAGACTTGCACCAGAAGGAAATTGTCAGTGCAGGTTTGCAACTGGTAAGTGCCACAGCAACTCTGCCAAGGGCCATGAAAGCTCAGAGCCAAGACAATGATTCTTAAACTTTACCTTGCACCAGAATCACCTGACACTGACAGATTTCTGGCTCCAGCACCAGAGCTCCTGATTCAGTATGTATGGGAAAAGGCCCAAGACTTTATAATAAATTCCCTGGTGGTGCTGATATTATGATGTGAAGACCACACTTGGAAGCCACCACACCTAGTAGAGTAGAGCAGGGAAAGAGGAAGCTAAATGGAGAGGAATATATTCCAGAAAAAGAAACACGGTGAATTCATCTTGAGATAGCAGTACTAGTCCATTCTTTCCTTAACCTATCCAGTCAGTAATCAAGTCCTATAGATTCTAGCTCTTTAATCTTTGCATTTTTCTGATTTCTGCCATCTGACATTGCCTGTTTATGCCACCATTTCTCATTGCCTGTGGTGATTTATTAAATGATATTCCTCCTGTGTATCCGCCTCACTCTACTAACTCTAAACAAGCTATCTTCCATGTTACTGCCAGAAATATCTTTCTAAAACACAAATCTGATCAGGTTACTGTTCTGATTAAGATTCTTCAATGACTCTCAGATTTCTTAGATTAATCTTTACACTCCCAAGTGCAATATGCTATGAATCCCTTTTTTGCTCTTGTCCTGACCTACACCTTGATCTCTGTCACTTCTCCACTCTAACCATGTGCTATTCTCCGAATTCCTCCTGTAGAATACTACCTGCATTGCTTTCTCCAGTAGTCTCACTATCTCCCCCTTATTATATAACTATCACCTATTTATCCCTTAAAATCTAGCTCCAAAGTAATTTCCTCCACAAATTTTCAAAATTTTAGGCTGCTGTGGACTACCATCACTATGTTTACATCACATGCAGTTTTTATGTTGATATGGTCTTAATTTTATGTTTGGTGCCTGATAGTAATGAATATATTTGAGAGCAGAGAATATGCTTAATTTTATAACCCCATAACTGAGTGTGTGCACAAAATAAATGTTCAGTGAATATTGACTAAACAAATCAGTGAATGACAAGGTGGAATGATGGTGGATAGATGAGAAAAAAACAATTGAATAGACTCTTGGTTATCATGTGAGGGGTATTAAAGTAATGATATAAGATTAAAAGGGAGCTCTGGTAGCATAGTGCCTAAGGCACTTGACTGCTAACCAGAAGGCTGGTGGTTCAAACCCCAGCCACTCCTCAGAAGGAAGATGGGGCAATCTACTTCCATAGTGATACTGCCTCAGAAACCCAAGGAGGGGTCGCTATGAGTTGGGTCTGACTCAACGGCAAATAACAACATAAGATTAAAAAACTAGATTCAAGTAAAGTTGAGGTAACCAGTTTAAGAAATTTTTATTTCAGTCTTTAGACATTATGTGTGAATGATATTGGATACTAATATAATATCAAAAACATTATTTCAGAAGACTTATTCAACTAAAATATATGTGAAGGAGGAAAAAGGAGACAGGCTTAAGGAGAGGGGCCAAATGGAATTTGATGTTGGTGGTTCAGGTGTAGGTTAATTAGGGCCTGGACTAGGGAGATGTTAGTGGAACTAGAAGGGGAGAATCAGGTGCAAAAAATATTATGAATTATTATTAATGATGTCTTGATGATTGAATGACCAAGAAAGGGCAAAGGAGAAAACCAGAGTAACTGGCAGAATGATGACTTACTAAGAGTCAAAGTGAAATTCAATGTCGGGGGCAAAAGGAGATCAAGAAATCATTAATTTTGGTTTTAGCATGTTGGGAATTATCCTGAAAGTTACTATTATAACCCAAATGTGCTTCATTAAACCTATGATTAAAATTTAATTCTTCAATGCTCTATTAAGAACAGAACCTGTCATAAAAAGGACACAGAAAATGGGATATTTTTTTTTATTTTTAATAGAGGAAAAATGCAGACTGATTATGTTCCCTGGCTTTTCTGGTGTCAGCCATGATCACAAATGTACAGTAAAGACATACTACAGGCCAAACTAGTGAAAGGAAGCCATGTAAAAGAGTGAGGAGACCCAAAAATGGAGGGTTAATGGGAGATCCAAAACAAAATTTATTTCTAACATTTCTGAGGATTGCCAGCTAGCATATCACCTGAGGAGATTTCTAAAAACAAAACTAGAAGTATATTAAATCAATCAATCTTTTAACCTGAGAATATTCTGGCTAAATATTCAGAACTGTACAAGCATGGAGAAAAGATAAAGAGCAATATACAACAATGCTTAATTTTTTCTGCATTTTAATCTGAAAAAGATAAATTAATATCTGCAGGAAATAGAAAAAAGTACCCAAATCTACCACTTATATGTCTCACTTTGTTAAATAATAATAAAATTAGTTTTTATAGGTAGATTATTTCTAGTGCTACTAGTTTGGAAATATAGACACATGCCTCAGTAGTTATTAAATTTTGTGGGAAAAAGTTCTCTAAAACTAACCTTTGTATTATATGATTTCAGGATTCATTTTTTCATTGTATTATACAACTAATGGATAAATTATAAAGTGGGTCACTTACAACTGCCACACCACCACCACCTCTTTTCTTTTCTGTTTGCTGGATGTGGTCTTTCCAGCCTTTAATTTCTTTTGCACTCTACTGGATTTTTTTGGTTGTTGTTGTTGTTTTTTCATTGTGCTTGGTGTACAGATTTACAAAGCAGATTTGTTTTCCATTAAACAATTTGTGCACATTTGATTTCACGGCCCCGATTATCATCCCCGGCTACAAAAAAAAAAAACCTTTCCTCCCCTCTCCTCCCTTTGACTACCTCCTTCCTGTGCCCTTCTTGTCTATGCATTCCTGTCTGCCACCTTTTCCTCTTTGTGAGTGATGCCCCTCTGATATCTCATGGCTGATTGATCTAAGGGGTGCATCTCCTTAGAGTAGGTTTTGCACTCTTCTGTTGAGCAGTAGCCTGTATTACAGAATACCCTTTAGTCCTATTTTATCCATAAAAATGACCAAGATAGAATGAAAGCTTCTTATTGGTTCTGGTGAACAGGACTGATTTACAATGCATTTTCAGTTCTGTTGATTATGTTCAGGGTCTTCCTCATTTCATGGCATCATTTTTTGGAAAGTAGATCTAGTCTTCTGCATGCTATAAAGCTTGCTGGTGTTGGTTAGCTCATGTCTCTTTTCATTTAATATGAGGTGTTATTATGTAATATGAGTGCAGTTTTGCCTAATAGCTTTCACTGCTTTGCTAGCTGATTCTATCTTTCCAAGTGGTAAGATTCATAAAATTGGATTTCCTTATAATGAAATCATACAGTGAGATTGTTCCAACTGGTCTCTTACTCATAAAATGACTATGGCAATTCCTACCTCAGTGAAAGAAATTTTGCTAAGAGGAAATTTATTTTTACATTTTTATATAACATTGTCTCCTTATAGTTTTCCCTACCCAAGGTTAGTACTTGGTATGGCAAGTTATCTATTAACTTCAATCCATCTAAAAAAAAAAAAAAAAGATACATTTAATTAATTAACATTACTATCTTCTTGATAAAATTGGGTGTAATTTAGTCATTTGTAGTGTATATAGAAAGTAATTTGTTATTTGATGAAAAGAGTTAACTTACGTCTGTGACTCTTGCAGATCCTACAGAGCAAGTGACAATACAAGTGCTGCCACCAAAAAATGCCATTAAAGAAGGGGACAATATTACCCTAAAATGCTTGGGAAATGGTAACCCACCTCCTGTGGAGTTTTTGTTTTACTTACCAGTAAGTGCTTAAGTATTAATACATGAGTAGAGTATTATAATTTTGTTTTGTTGTTTGGTATCTAGTTGAGATTAAGTATTTATGTGCTTGTGTGGGTCAAATGAGAAAAGGTGTTATTCTTAGGGACAAGGGACACCTATAGAATATAACTTTGAAGCTTCAGTATCTGCAGGTGCTGTTGTCTGTTTTTCTCGGTATTGAGGTTTCAGGGACAAAGAGGAAAAAAATAAAAACTAACCACAGGAAAACATAATTATAAAAACTCAAGTCTAATTACCCAAAGAAGCTGTAAGAAACTGATCTTTAGAAACAGATAACTATAAAATAAAGAAGGATGACAGCAGAATGGTCTAATGTGGATTCTAAATCTACCCACATGTCATCCTGAACACACTTCTGTTCCTCTCTTATAGGGATAGTTCTGTTGTACATCATTTGTAGCTTGATAGAATAAAGCTGTGGGCCATTTCCTGTCAGAGCATGTTATAATCTTGAAATACCATTTCCTCAATGTTTATCCATACCATAGCTGAGATAAATGATACATATAAAGGATAATTTGGAACATTCCTCTAGAATGTGTTCTAGATGCCATAGTACTATGGAACCTGACTGAGGAAGTTCTGTCTGAGGGTGCTACTTGTTGTCTCTTAGAAATGCCTTCTTTGGTCTGGATTTGGCATCACCTTTCCTTAAAGGATGTATAGAGCCAATAATGTATTTACTGCAGGGATGTATTTATGAATTTCATTTTCCACATTATTCAGTAGTTTCTGAATATCATCCACTACATTACACAGAAGACTAGTACAAGTAATTTCTTTGAGTCTTATATTTTGACAGAACTCTGTTTCTCCTACTAAATTTGGCATGCTGTTATTGTCTCATGTGCAAATGAAATTTTGAAACTAATTATGTTTCCCTTTTGGCTATCAGGGATGTCATAGCCACATTTGTGTCTCAATTTTAGAACCAGTATCTGTTGATTATCTTTTCTTGCTAACATATGCATCTAGTTAATCTATTTGTTTCCTGATCTCAGTTTTTCATTATTTGTTTCTTGTTCATTACTTTACTTTTTGCTTTCTCCCTACCTCCTTTTTTTCCCCCTAAATTGGACATCCAGCATATTTTCTTTAAGTTGCCTCAGATATTTTAGAGGAGCTACTCAGGGCATAAATATAAAAATAAAATGTTGGACTTTATTTAAAATCTGCCTTAAAATGCAAACATAGCCATAATGTCAATAAGATGTCTATCACAAATACCATATAAATAAGCTCCTCGATTTCCTTAGAACAAAAATATTATTTCTCCAAGAATAGGAAACAAGTAATCTTGTTTTTCCAGTCAAGGAAACGCATTCCCTCTTATTTCCTTCTCTGAGAAAATACCATCTTCATCAAGAAATATAATTGTTCTCATTGTAGCTACCAAGTGTAATCATCTGACATTTTGCCTTTACCAAAAGGGCCAGCCAGAAGGAATAAGAAGTTCAAATGCTTACATATTGACAGATGTGAGGCGCAATGCAACAGGAGACTACAAATGCTCCCTGATAGACAAAAAAAGCATGATTGCTTCAACAGCCATCACAGTTCACTGTAAGTCATCTTCTTCTTCTTCATTATCAGTTTCACCTGAAAGTCCCCTATTATCTTATCTTGATGATATTTTCAAGTAAATGGTAGCTATCTCTTAAATTACTTGGTTTCTATAGACTCCCTGACAACCAACAGAGTCAGCTCAACTTTGGTCCAGGTTTGCACTGTAATGTTTAAACCTTGCACAAATTTGATAATTCCAACTTTTGGCAGTGCTAAATATCCATCCTCTTTCTGAATCTCTTCAATTTGTGGCATCCATACATTATTTACATGGTTCTTAAAGAAATAATGCATTCATTTTAAGAAAATATTTAGATATTTTTGAAGCTCACAAGATTTGCATTTGTCCCAGAAGAGTATAGATGAAGTATCTTTTTTTAGACTACAGTATTATCACCCCAACATAAAATTACTGTTGACTCAAGATTTAGACAATTCTGACTCACAGTGATCCTGTAGGGCAGAGTAGAACTGCCTTGTAGAGTTTCTGAGCTCTGATAGCGTAGTGCCTAAGGCACATGACTGCTAACCAGAAGGTTGGTGGCTCAAACCCACCAGCCACTCCTCAGAATGAAGGTTAGGCAATCTACTTCCATAGTGATACTGCCAAGGAAACCCAAGGAGGGGTCGCTATGAGTCGGATCTGACTAGACAGCACAAAACAACAACAGCAGCATAGAGTTTCCAAGGCTGTAAATCTTTAGTTATGCAGACTGACACATCTTTCTCCCTGGGAGTGCCTGGTGGGTACCACAGATCTTTAGGTTAGCTGCCAACTGCTTTAACCACTGTGTGATGAGAGCACCTAAGAAGAGGAGTAGAGAGACCACTAAACATTATGAATTGGTTAAATGGACATTAGCCAAAAGGATTAAAAATTTTCAATCTCTTCAAAATCACCCCAAATATCCTCTTTTATTAATTTTTTTAATCTGTTTTTAATTTCTCTCTCTCTCTCTCTCTCTCCATATATATATATATATATTTAAATTACATTTACCCCAGTGTGGTAGAAAAAAACAGAATTTATTTTACTTGAATTCTTTATTTTGTAATTCATGACAGTCTTTATTATTGATGAACCTAAAGAAGGGTGTCATGGAAATAAGAAATCGATTTGGACTGTCTCCTGGGGACATTAGGAATGCACAGATTGCCCTGAGCAAGTGTCACTTCTGCTTGGAGGTATAGGTCAAATTTTCTAATACTTCCTTTGCTCCAAAGTACCATTGCTAAGATTTCCTCTAGACATGACCCACTATAATACCATTGAGTGTCAGATCTTTCTTTGTTTAAAAATTGAAAGAGACTTAAATCTTTATTGTTTTAAAGCCAAAAACAAATTTCAGAAAAATCTTCACAGGTGATTTTGATGCATCCAAAAAGTTATAACCTAAAGGGAAATGTGGAAAATTTTTATGCAGGGTAATCATGTGGCTTTAGAGTAATGACGTTCAGCTTCATAAGTAAAACAATAACAGCAACAATAATACCAATAGAACTACCTCTACTATTATTTACTGAGGATTTATTTGTTCCTTTATTACATGCTGTGCACTGTTTTAAGAACTTTTGCACCCTAACTTTTGAAACTTAAAAGGAAGCTTTAATAAAGGTATAATTCTTGTGATATAGGGAATAAAATGAGGGAATGGGGGCATAGAGAAGTAATTTTCCCCTGATAAGACGGCCGTAAATAGCTAAGCTGGCATTACACTATCATTACCAGCAGAATGAAGGAAGGATTAGAGGAAGAGAGTAGACATGATAAGTTTACTGGTAAATTATTGTAGCACTCTACCAGGAGCATCTGCATTTGGGCAATGTCACTAGTAAAGATTGCTTCTGCAAACATACAGATAGGTTTGGCACTGAAAGTAGGCTCTCTGTGTATAATACACAATCAAATTAAATATGCTTACTTTTTGAATAAATAAGCCAGGTGGAAAAAAAAAATTGAAAGAGACTTTAGAAATCGCCCTGGGGTAATGGTTCTTATTCTTTCACTATATCTATAATGCTTGAAAAACATGTACAAAAGGAGCCAAAACTTCGAGGGAGATACAAGGAGGTACTTTTGGGAATATTGGAACCAGATGGTTGCTTGTGAAGGTTTGATGTTGAGAACATACTCTGGGGAGCTCTGTGAAAACATTGGTCTTTTAAAAAATGTTCACAGCCAGGCCATTTCTCTGTTTGCTCTATATTCATGTTGCATGAATCTGAATGTGTCTGCCATCAGGGGCTAGTTACAGAGAAAACAATGACCTCTCAGAATAACAACAGTGCTGCTTTTTCTCTGAGGACCAGTCAATCATGGGACCATTTGCCCAGGGATGTTCATGGGGGAAAAAAAAAAAATGAAGTGAGGGAATATAGCTAGCAAATAGAATTTCCTGTGGAATAGTTCTCTGATATCATTTTTCATGAGATCTTTGTGTCAATAACCAATAATCCAGTGCCTGGGAGATGGTATGACTTACTTTTGTTTAAAATATGCTAGCCACATGGAGTTCTGAAATGAGAGAGCTCTTGTATCTATTATTTGTAGATCAGACAGGGAGGCATAGGTGGCAGGCTTATAAGGCAAAGTTCTTGAATATAGTCACATAGTACCTCAGTGATCATCAGTGATAGAAAATACAATTAAACAGAAGAATGAAGCAGTTTAGTTGACTTTCAGTGCTTTTCTAGAAATGAATTTCTGTTTTGACAGGTAGACTGCAACCTTAAAGATTTAAGAATTTTGTTGCTTGTTAAAAACTGGAAAAAAATGTATTGCAAGTAAATCAATGCTTTATTCTAAATTATATAAAAAGAAAACACAAAATCCTTGCCCATTTGTTTTTGTTTTCCAAAAAGAAGACTTATTTCCTTTCCATGTGTGACTAAAGGGAGTTTGAGTAGAGAAACACAATGCATGCCTACAAGAGGTTACAGAAGAGACCTCATGAGAGCTTTTAGTTGCTGATGAAACATCTACTATTCCTCTGAAAATTCACACACCTCTAGATTCTTTATCAAAGTCTCTACAGGTCATCCCCATCCATTAAAATCACTTATTTTATCTACTCATTGTCAAGTTAACTTTCTACCTAATGCAGTCTTCAAACGCACACTGAATAAATGTTTTCATCCAAATATAATTTACTCAAGGAGCTCTAGTGGCATAGTGGATAAGGCATTTGACTTCTAACCAGCAGGTCAGTGGTTCAAACCCACCTGCTGCTCCGTGGAAGGAAGATGGAGCAATCTACTTCTCAAAGATTTACAGCCTCAGAAACCTAATGGGGGTCACTATGAGTTGGAATCGACTTGATGGCAGCGAGTTTGGTTTTTGATATAATTTACTCAATTATTCTCAGAAAACATCACTTCCATATGAAATGGTGAACTGTGTAGGTAATTCATGTAAAACTGAGAAAGCAGAATTTTTCCCTTAATTCATTCAACAATAATTTTTGAAAGCCCACCATCTATGGCAGGTACTATAGATACAACAGTGACAAATCATGCCATCATCCCTATACTCATAGTGCTTATAGCCTAGGACAAAAGAGAAGCATTAAAAAAGCAGTATTTAAAATTTTTAATAAATTATTTTTATGACACATACAACTGAGAAGTAGCAGAAGAGGTGCAATGACAAATCCCCACTAGCACAGTCCCAAATCCTAGTATAGTAACCAAGATCCTTTGCAGTCCTAAGTCAATTCATTGTGTAGGTTTATTTTCCAAGCTGTCACCAGTTATACTAGATTACTTACTATTGTGACATCACCCAAACTCTATTTTCCTTTTGCCTTTTTGTAGGCAGGAATTTTTCCTACATCTCTGCTTATCATAGCTCTTCTCAAACATTGGGGGCGATGGACAGATATACTACCTCTTATACAAAGCCTTGGGAGCTCTGGTAGCATAGTGTCTAAGGCAGTTGACTGCTAATCAGAAGGCTGTTGGTACAAACCCACCAGCCACTCCTCAGAAGGAAGATGGGACAATCTACTTCCATAGTGATACTGCCTCAGAAACCCAAGGAGGGATCGCTATGAGTCGGGTCCGACTAGAGGGCACAAAACAACAAACAACAACATACAAAGCCCTAATTACTACTTTGAATCCCAGCTTGACTCTGTTCTGTACAGTCTGTTTCAATCATCTTTTGGAAGGAAGATGAGGCAATCTACTTTAGTAGTGGTACTGCCTCAGAAACCCAAGGAGGGGTCCCTATGAGTCAGATCTGACTTGATGGCATATAACAACAATTACAACAACATAGATTCCTACCCCAGGATTATGAGGATGACTTAGCACACCCGTTAGATTGTCAACAGCTCATTAGTTCAGATATACTCATGGCCCAGAGGAAGAGGATAACAAGGTCACAGAAGATTTTCATTCAGGTAAAGAATGAACAACCAGAGATAGCAAGTTTAGTAGGTATAAAGAAGATGGGATGCCTCCTGGTTCCCACAGAATGATGATTGACTTGTTTGAATAATTCTGCAGGGGTGCAGGGAACTGAAACCCATCAGGGATAAGGAATATACACTTGGTGCTATTGATAAGGATGGTTATTTGGTTAGAGGAACTTAGTCAAGGGGGTAAATCTGGGAAGGGAACTTAATGGTTAAGCCATTCAAGGCCCTCCCAGTTCCAACAGATGTAACGACATTATATTGAACCATAGTTCTAGGCTTTACACCATGCACTCCCGTAGGTCTTTGCTTATACCTCTTTTATTTCACTTCCTTTAAGCTTGCAACAAATATTGATTGAGCTTCTGATCTGTTCCAGGTTTGCTACTAGATACTTATTTTGTACTGCTTTGTATTACAGTCAGTTGAATACTTATTGCTCTATGTCATTAAATTGTAACCATATTATTCATCTCTATATCTCTTTTCAATGCATGGTACATACTAGCTGTACAATAAATGTTTGTTAAATTGAATTGGATATTCCTCATACACATCATAATATAACAGTAATATTTATATAGAAATTATTTTCCATATGAAAGAGTCTATATCCTTAAATGTGTCTGTACTCTGTACTCTATTAAATCATATCTTCTGATAGTGTACTTAACAATAAATCTTATTTAAACTTTTAATTGCATGGGGAATGGAGTGATATGGGTTTGTTAAAATATTTAACTCTTACACTTGATTTTCTGTGAAGAAACACATCGACTATCCTGTGGTTTTACCATTTATCACCTGCTGTCTAAACATACTTGATTATCTAATGTTACACCTTACCAACTCTTTTTATGGTATTTTAAGTATAATATTTTCTTGTCATCATCTTCTCTATTTTATTCCAAAAGTGATCTAAGATTTTTTTTCCTTGTGGAGATGGACCCTAGGGGAATAATTCTATGCAGTCGAAACAGCAATCATATTAACTGCAAATAAATGCATAATGGATTAGATTGACCAGTTACTCGTTCAACTTGACATCAAAGCTGACTTGAAAACCTAGGCTGATTATGCTCTAGACCAGTTACTTCAGTTACATAAATCAGCTCTGAATTTTCAATGCAAGCTAGATGGATTTTTTTTTCTTCACCTTTTCTTCTTCAGAATATTTTGCCTATTTTACTTTGCTGGAGCTTGCATTTCAAACAAATTTTCTGCTTCACAGATTTGGATTTATCCTTAAATCCAAGTGGGGAAGTAACAAAGCAGGTTGGTGATGCCTTGCCTGTATCATGCACAGTATCTGCTAGTAGGAATGCAACTGTAGTGTGGATGAAAGTAAGTAATATTCCTTGGCAATACCTTGCTATTAGAGATGATTCCTTTTTAGGTTTCTTTTGCATCTTATTATATATTGTATCCAAAAATGTATATTCATGGATAATATGTGTATACACCACATTCATCTTCAAACACACTCACACACTCTATCTCTCAATATCCTCTAGTAATGCAAATCAAGTTGCAACACAGTTTTGCAGGTAGTCAATAATAGTGTGATATCCATAATTGATGCTCTGAAACTAATTTTGGGGGATTACTTTAATTATGCATATATACTAAGTAATTATTCATACACACAATGTATAATTATTTATACATACAAACAATACACTTATTGTTACATACTTTAGGACTTAACAATTTACATTATGCTTTAAGCTACAAAATTCTCACATTATGATTATAATAACCCTTGAAATAAGTAGTTTATTTATCATTTTCTCCATGTAACTCCTAAAGAAATTCAGCAAGAGAAATCAGGAAGCTCATAAGTGATAGAATAGAGGCATGAGCTCAGGCCTTCCTGAGTTATGCTCCAGTCCAGAACCTTTCTGCCTCTCTGCTACTGAAACTGTTCTTAAATTTCTGAATCATGTTCCACTGGATTATGAGCATCTAGAAAGTAAGGTCCCTTTTCTTCCTGGGCCATAGCAGAATGCCTAGAACATACTAGAGGTTAGTCAATATTTCCTGAGTAAGTGTTTAAAGACTTGCAATTGTCTGAAATGTAAGCCATAACCTGGAGACCCAAGCACTGCTGTATCTTTAGCACAATAAAGTAAGATTGGTAATTAGTGATATGAGGTGGGGTTTTCACTGAAGGAAAAGGTTTTGACTGTGGCCCATCACAAACAATTTGAAATAGGGTTTGAAAATATCTCTATGAAAATTGGAAAATTTTTGGAGAATTTAATTACAAGAATTTCTCCTTAATGAAGATATAAGTTACTTTATATTACTCTATTGTTCCTTTTTGACTCCTTTTAATACAAGCTCCTCTGGTTATTCCTTTCTTCCTCTTAGAGCTCATTTCTTTTTTCACTTTCATTATCCACACTCTCAAGGAGCTCTGGTGGTGTAGTGGATAATGCTTTCAGGTGCTAACCTAAGGTAGGCAGTTCAAACCCACCAGCTGCTCCTCAAGAGGAAGATGAGGTGATCTACTTCTGGGGTCACTATGAGTTGGAATACAATCGATGGCAGTGGGTTTTGTTTTGATTTTTGTTTTCAGCCACACTCTCATTACCCCATCCCAACTTCTTATTCACTCCAATTAATGTGGCTCTCTTTTGGCAGCATATTTAACTTATTTCTAGCAGTCAATGGTCAAAGTGCTAGACAGGTTTTAGGTAATGAATCAGCAATCATATGAATACATTATAATAATAATGTGTTTTATTATAGCTCTAGAGAAACTAAGTTCACTTTTGCTAAACCAGGTTCTGTGTTGCCTGTAGTCACTGTTTTTAATGGCTCTAGTGGAGTCCCTAAAAAACCAAAACCTAACTCACTGCCATTGAATCAGATCTGACTCATAGCGACCCCTCCTTGGGCTTCTGAGGCAGTGTTTCTATAGATTGCCCAACTTCCTTCTGAGGGGTGGGTAGTGGATTTGAACTGCCAGCCTTCTGGTTAGCAGTCAAATGTCTTAGGCAGTATGCCATCTGAGCTCCTAAGTCTTGCAAATAAATGGTTAACATGCTTTGCTGCTACCTAGAGGTGGAAGGTTCTAGTCCATCCAGAGATCTGTTGATCTATTTCCAGAAAATCAGCCATTGAAAATCCTATGGAGAACTGCTCTTCTCTAAGACACATGGAGTTACCATATATCAGAATCCACTCAATGACAACTGATTTTTTTTTTAATGTCAGTAGTTATTTTCAAAATTGCTTTTTAGTTGATGGAAAATGGTAAAAAAAGCATAGTGGACAAATATGACACAATCTTAATTAGACCACTGACATCTACTACAATGGGGAGTTAGTGTTACTGATTGTGTTTGGTTTTCTGTTTAGGAGTATTTGAAGTCTACGTAAAATAGATATGATTATTCTCTGTATATCAAGTAATTATTAAATTAAGCATCACATATCTATTGTTGATAGGCATTAGGCTACTAATCTGTTATTAAAGACCTCTTAGAAAAAGCATTCTTGCTATAATTGTCATGACTCAGTAATGGATCCCTTATCTTGATAATTGTATCATATAAAATAACTTTCAGACCTTTAGACTTGTCTTTGATTATATACTACAAGTTACATACCATACAGACCACAAATTTCCATGTCTGTTACTTAAGACCATTGACATCTTCTACAATGAGAGTTACTAAGAACTTTCTTTAATGTAAACACATTAGTTACTTTTTTAAGTTCTCATAACAATTATATATGGTAAAATTATTACCACAATTCTCTAATAAGGAAACTGAGTCTGAGAAGTTTATGAACATCCTCCAAATTATTAATAAAAGAGGAGCCTAAAATACAGCTCTGATATGTCTGACTCCAAAACTATATAGGAAAAAGGAAATCCATTTTTGAAAGCATTTAAATTTAAGAAAGGAAGAAAAAAAAAGCTTTTATTTTCTAATGAAGAATAGTCTTAGATATAAGTATTAGCTAATAAGAACATGCAGGGTTATAATTGTGCCCTGTGAAGTAATTCATCTTTCATTTAATCAGGATAACATCAGGCTTCGATCTAGCCCATCATTTTCTAGTCTTCGATATCAGGATGCTGGAAACTATGTCTGTGAAACTGCTCTGCAAGAGATTGAAGGACTAAAGAAAAGAGAGTCATTGACTCTTGTTGTAGAAGGTAATAAAGTCCTTGGACAGCAATTCTTTCAAAACGTTCTCTTTGAAAATTTGATTTTTCATTTCTTTTATGATCTCAGTTTAACACCCTATTTTAATCGTAATGATATTTTAGGAAAACCTCAAATCAAAATGACAAAGAAAACGGATCCCAGTGGACTGTCTAAAACAATAACCTGCCATGTGGAAGGTTTTCCAAAGCCAGCTATACAGTGGACAATTACTGGCAGTGGAAGCGTCATAAACCAAGCAAGTATTTGTCTTCTTGTTACCTGCTGCATCTGGTCCAAGAGGGGGTCTTATTTAAGTACCTAAACTCTAGCCTGGTTTGTTACAACATGAAATCCTCAGTATGTTCTCAGAAGGAGCTCATGCTAATGTCTTAATTTTCCCAAAAGAACATAATTCAAAGAGAAATTTTGAAGTCCAAGGTCCTGGAGATGGAAGAACTACTATGTTTTGTCAGTATTTGTTTACAAAAGAATGTAAATTGAATATTATTCCATGGTCATTAATTTTTTAAACTTCAGTGATTAAAACATTAAAGTATACACTTTTCTGCATCATAAACTTACACATCTGAGTTTAAGTAGCTTCCATTACTTTGCTTACTTAAGCATGTTAAAGGACATCTCTCTTTGAAAACTGGGCCCTGGAGGTCAGGAAGAACACAGTCAAGGCTAATGAACATATGGTCTGATTTTTTGGTGCCAAGGCTTGGACCAAAATAAGATGAGTTAAATATATAGTATCTAGGACCTTTGAACAAAAGAGAACATAAACCAAACTTTATTATTTGTAAACTTGACAGGACGTTTTATCTATAGTAAAGTGGCCTAAGAAATTATATCTTGTACCAGTTACTTTCTTTTACCTTTAACTCTTTGACCAAAAAGGATAAGGATCTGGCTTGTCACTGGATGTTCAGACCTATAACCCCATGAAATTTCCCAACTGATTATATTACTGACAAACATGTTAATTCTGTTTTCTCACAACAGTTGTCATGTATCATCTTTTCAGTCCACCCACATAGAGACTTTTTTTTTTTTTTTTTTTTTCTTTATTGTGATTTGGGTGGATTTACAGAGCAAATTCACTTTCCATACAGCAGTTCACATATACTTTGTCTCATGTTATTGACCACAGTTTACCACAATGCAACAGCTCCCCTCCCACTTCCTCCTCATAGTTACCTCTTCCCAGTGTCCATCCCTCCATACACTCCTGCCCCCTGAACTGTCTTGCTGTGCATAAGCACCTATTCGTTCTCCCATGATTGTTCTCTCCTAGGAGTGTATCTACTTGAGGTAAATGTTTAACTCATATGCCTGTCTATTGTTTGGCTGAAAACCACAGGTGTGGGTTCAATTCCAGACCTGAAGGGCAGCTACAAGCCATAGTCTCAGTGGTTGCACCAGGCTCTATCAGACCAGTAAACCTGGTCCCCACCTTTTTTTTTTTTTCTCCAAATGATTTTGAGTTTTGTTCCACATTGTTCTCCCCCTCTATCAAGGATCTCCTACATAGATCACCTTTCAAGTGTATGACAGTGGTAGCCAGGCACCATCTAGTTCTACTGGTCTCACAGTCATATAGGCTGCAGATCGGATGGAGTACCAGTTGCTAGGACTAATTGTTTCCATGAATTTTGGTTTTCTTCATTCTTCTTTGCTCTGGATGAGGAGAGACCCATCGTTGCCTCTAGATGGCAGCTTGCTAGCTTTTAAGATCCCAGTCGCTACTTGCCAAAGTAGGAGGTGGTATAATGTTTTGTATAGTACGTTATGCCAATTGAGCTTGATGTCCCCTGCGACTATGGTCCCAAGTCCACAGGTTCAACTACTTGGTCCCTCTGGGTAGCTGGCTGTGACCAAGCCATGACCACAACCTTGCCCCTTGTTAGCTCTACCATACACCTGGGAATACTGATCATTCACATAAACTTATGGGACCATTGTCTGCCAACCCTATATAAGTTCTTGGATACACTCCCCTTTTCATAGACACACCTAATCGTTTAGCCTGTCTACCCATCTATCCACCCATATACTCATATTTGCCTTCACTGACAATGGAGTACTGTATGTGCAAAATGGTTAATATTTGTTGTCTGTACCTCCCATGTACCTCTCTATATCTTTCTCATCCTCCGTGCTGCCATATTGGTCACTCACATTTGGTACATTGCCCTTCTCTTCACCCATATCAATATTTATCTCTATCAACAGCCACCCCTCCCCTCCCACTCTTGGTAACCAACAAAGAAAATTTCTTTCTATAGATAAACCTTCCCTTAACTTTTACAATAACGGACTAATACAATATTTGTCCTTTTGTGATTGACTTATTTCACTCAGCATAATGTCCT